ATCTTATACATATCTTATATATATATCTTATATATATATATACACATCTTATATATATATATATCTTATATATATATCTTATATATATATATACATTTTATATATCTTATATATATATCTATATATATTATATATATATCTGTATATATTTTATATATCTATCTATATATTATATATATCTATATATATCATTATATATATCTTATATATCTATATATATATATATCTATATATATATCTTATATATATATATTATATATGTATATATATCCTATATATATATATATATATATATATGAAAAATTTAAAATAAATATCAATAACTATACAGTGTCTTCACACACACACACACACACACACACACACACACACACACACACACACACACACACACACACACACACACACACACACACACACACACACACACACACACACACACACACACACACACACACACACACACACACACACACACACACACACACACACACACACACACACACACACACACACACACACACACACGTTCAACGGTTTTTTGTTTTCTTTAAATTTTAATCTTTTCGAGTCTACGAATTAATTTCTTGGTGGCTGTAGAAAATTGATTAAGAAAACTGCCAAAATTTTCTTTCAAATAATTTTTATTTTCTCAACTACTTTCAACAATGAGTACAGGAACAATGTTCTTAAATTTTTGTAACAGAAAAGTTTCATATATTAAAATAATGGTAGATAAATAAGTTACCTCCCTTGCATGGGAAAATCCTCTTGAATTTCAATTTGACCCTGAAACATACACAGCCACAGACAATTTAAGACCCTGAAGATGGTCTCAGATGAATTTCAAAGTTGCACTTACGGTCATCTGTCAAAACTACTCAGTTGTAATTGTTCTAGCAAGACAAGGTTGCTAACCATTACCCCATGCCGAGGTGCTCTCCGCTTGTACCTATGTATAGTGTGTATCACGCTTGTTATCGCAGATACTGAAGGGCTAAAAAGAGGGAGGAATACAGAGAGGAAAATATAATCTTGGAGAAAGTCAGTTGTTTTTAGTGAGGGTTTAAATAATCTTTTGTTACCTAACGATCTGTTGGAGACAATTTCACCTATAGACTGCATTTGACCTATTCAAAATCTTCTTTTAAAAAAAATCTCATCTTTACGAATTTGTTACAGATGGGGGAACCCAGACTAAGTGGAAAATCAAAAACTGAATCAGTGGGAAAGACGAAGAGAATTCGATACAGCGATGGACTGAAGAGGGTCGTCATAGAAAAAGGCAGTTGTTTGTAGTCAAGGATCAAATCACGTTTCGTAACCTAACGAGCTGTTGAGGACAAATTCGGCCCTGAACTGCATCTGATATTTTAAATTAAAATCTCTCTTGTTTTTTTTAAATCTTATCTTTGCGAATTTGTTACAAATTGAAGGAACTCAAACTGTATTTAGCATCTGTAATAGAAAGAGAGAGAGAGACAAAAGGGCGTAGGAAGTCAAAAAGAGAGTGCGACACTGAGCAGGATTTGGGCGCATCTTAGATAAATTCAGTTGTTTATCGTGAGGAGTTAAATCACATTTCACGACCTAACGATCTATTTGAAACCTACGTCAAGTTTTAATAACTACCTGGGAATGGTCATGGATTGAAAAGTACACAATGCAACATTAAAAAAAAATAGTAGTAAATGCGTATAATTTACACGATATGGTTTGGTTTGGTTTGATTTATTTTACGGCATATCAACCACAACGGGTTATTTAATGCCGACAATGCTGGTAATATTTTTTTTCAAAAATGTGTTGCTTGCAATATTTTTTCTTAAAAAATCTATTGCTGGTAATATTTTTTCCAAAAATGTATAGCTGTTTGTATTGCTGGCAATATTTTTTTTTTTTAAAGTATTGCTGGTAATAATTTTTTTCCTTCAAAAAGGTATTGCTGGTAATAATTTTTTTACAAAGTATTTCTGGTATTAAAACCTATTTTTACACTTTCATAGTATTTTCACCACAGTTTGGTGGTTAAGTATTTGCCCATAGCTGGGACCCTAACAGGTGCTACCACCCGAGTCAGGATGGACCTGGGAACACCAGAAGTTAAGAGGTGTTTCCCCGCTTCTCAAAACCTCCTGATCAGAGGCCTTGCTGTTGGAAGTAGTTTATCGTCTTACCCAGGACGCGGATCTAGTTTATGGTCATACCCAGGATTTGTAATTTACACGGATTCCGCTAGTAGTAATAATTGTTGTAAAAGGTGTCTCATGTTTTGAAATAACTTAAACTATATGAAAACAAAGTTAGTGAAATTGGAAAAATCTGTTTCGCTGTTAGGGACTATTGTCTTATACTTACCACACGATATAGAAAACTCTTGTGGTATATGATGCGAATTTAAATTATTCTACTCATACAGAAGTGGTTAACACTTGTTTATAAAACTATAAGTTAAATGAATGGCAAAATGGAAAAATATGTAACGTATTTCGACGTGTAATAGGACTTCATCAGAATAAAGCAATGTTTTTTTGTTACTGGAAGTACAAACACACACACACACGCATATATATATATATATATATATATATATATATATATATATATATATATAGATAGATAGATAGATAGGTCGAGGGAAATGCAACGTCGATTATAATTAAGCCTTGTTAGAAAACGCTGTCTATTTAGGGACACTTAATTGGAAATTTTAAAATTTCTGGCGTTCCACGTGTCTAGACGTACACCTCAGCTGATCTTTTTCGGTTTCTCAATTATACAGGGTTTTCCAAAACATTTCAAGTCCTCATATCTGATGAACTATGAATTTTAAAGCTAAATTCATTAATTTTATTGTAATCCTAATGATTTTTTCATATTTTTTCAGATCCCGTCATGGCCTTCACTCAACCAGAGAAGGCGTTTTGCGTCCTTGAATTTGCAAAAACTGAATCATGGAAACTTGTTCAACGTGTATTTCCCATGTCTCCAGATCTCACACTCTGTGATTTCTTTTTGTGGGGGTTTGTGAAAGGACTTGTCTATTTGCCTTCCCTTCCAAAAGACGTAGATGAAGGCCCGAATAACGGAAGCTATTGCAACTATTGACAACGCAATGCTGGAATGCGTTTGGCATGAATTGGACTATCAGCTTGATGTGTGCTGTGTGATCAACGGTGTTCACATTAGACATCTTTGAACATTTCATGTAAAACTTGAGATTAAATTCTTTTTAAATATGCCAGGCGCATTTTCATATCCTTAATAGTTTTCGAGATATCCAATGTCAAAATGTACCCAAGACTTTTGGAACATCCTGTATTATTATTAACTATTATTCCCAACTGTTATATATACTTTCTTAAAGCGGTTTCCATTTGATACTAATTTCTTATTTAAAGAATTGATATAATTATTTTCAAATGTTAATTATCCTTAATTTCAAGGACTTTGCTCTGCTTATTCCTATAATTGGTAGTTAATAGGATTTTGGGGTCAGTATATAATTAATTATTTAAAATTTGCTCGAAATGTTTGGCGAACAACAAAAAGATAAAGATACTCATCGGATTTGTGTGGTCTGTCATTGGGGTTGTTTTAACTTTCTCGCTGTGCAAAAATAAAGTGTCTACCGTAGTTGGAATCATCGAGTCAATACGAACAATACTTTCCTTAGCTACATAGTATGTGATTCTCCAGGGCTACACACAGTTTTGAATTAAGAGTTTTCCTTCTATTAGACCGGTTGCCACACAAGGCTATAGAACCCAGTCTGTTAAGGAGTCAACCGTATTCGGGATCATCGAGTTAATGCGAACGATCCTTTCCTTAGCTACATAGTATGTGATTCGCCAGGGATACATACAGTTTTGAATTCAGAGTTTTCTTTCTCCTAGACAGGTTACCAACCAAGGCTATAGAACATATTCTGTCCCACTAGCCTTGGGTGGCAACCGGTCTAATAGAAGGAAATCTCTGAATTCAAAACGGTGTGTACCCCTGGCGAAACACATACTATGCAAGCAAAGTAAAGGATCGTTCGCATTGACTCGATGATCCCGACTACGTTCGATTCCTTAACAGACTGGGTTCTATAGCCTTGGGTGGCAACCGGTCTAATAGAAGGAAAACTCTGAATTTAAAACTGTGTGTATCCCTGGCGAATCATGTGATTCGCCAGGGCTACACACAGATTTGAATTAATAGTTTTCCTTCTCCTAGACTGGTTACCACCCAAGGCTATAGAGCATATTCTCCCCTACTATTTACCTACAGCTGAGTAGAGAAGAGATGCATTCATACCTTTCCTAAGGGCATTAGCACGTAATGAACTTGATTGGAATTCGAACTCAGTTCTCTTATTACTCAATACGAGCTGCAACCCATTAATCTTCCGTGCTATGCGAAATCCTCGAAAATAAATATTAACTTGAGTAAATGCGTAAGCCTAACCGAAGAAACGGTTTGTAACAACAATAACAACAAATATTGTTGTGAAGATGAAGAATAAAGATAGGGTGATTGTGAGGGAGGAGAAAGGAAAATGTCAGAAGATGAAGATATAAAATCCTGGATGAAATCCAGTCGGACAAACAATTACTTTCTGATGGACCCGCCCAAAGCAACGAAATGAAACTCACACTCCTTAAATATCGCTAAAACACCTTCTCTTCATAATAAGTACGAGCTCTGTTTTTCATATTCCATTTGCAGTCCGCCATACACCTTCCTCTCCAATATACCTGACCAGCTTCGACCGACCGACCGCCCGCTTCGAAACACAAGACTTCCTTCTATTAGAAAGAATCGTTGCTGGTTGCTACGAAAAATGCAGGAAGATCTTTTCTGTTCTATCGACAACTTCGCCATTTGGTTCCATCAAACTGGTGGCAGCCCGATCCCGGATTCGTCTGTCTGAAAGGCGTGCATGTTCTTCATTGCCGGTCAACAACCGTGCCAACCCAACCAATTCTTCGAACATTTTTTATTTTTCTAAATAA